TATGTGATATACAATTGTATTATATTCTTTAAAAACTCTAATCTAATTTTGCCTATGCCCTATATTCAACTTATGTATTATTATCATTTACTTGTATTATAAATTGAAATATCGAAATATTTAAATACAATAGATATACAAGATGACATTGTATAATATTTAAAAACTCTAATTTAACTGTACCTATATTTGAATAACTATAATTTATAATGATAAGAATGTTTTCATATGATAACAATATGAAACATTTGTACATGGTTCCCAAATAATAATTGTCGGAAACGTCTTTTCACAAAAACAAATTTTGGCGGAAACGGGAATCGTACTTTTTTCGTTTTTGGCAGAAAAGAGCTATGGCGGAAACGGGAAACTCTCCTATATAGTATTTTCAAAAAAAATAAAATAGTAATTCATAACATCAACCTATGATAAAACATATTAAATTAATTTTTAATTGTATTTACACAATGTATTTGTGTTGTATTTTATTAATTTAACTAAGTATTTATATGGGTAAGTGATAATCAATGATATTTATGTACTTGGGTATGATTATAATACAATACAATATATAACTACGTGTAATAAATCGGTTTATCGGGTAATTTTTAATCACTTTTTGCGTTGCTTTAGAATGCTATAACAATATTATAATAATCCTCTAGTACTTATATATCATAGTTGTCATATCTCATGCAGTAAGAGCAAATTCTACATTATACGTGCGTTTTGGATGAATATTATAACGTTGGAGCTTCAGAACTTGTTTAACGACAGTAAAATAGCCATACCCTAAAATAACGCTTAGGCTATTCGTTTTCCTATGTTTAACCTTTTTGTACCCAATTATAATATATTGAAACAAACTCGCGCGAGGAATTATTTTTACTTAAGTACCTAAGTACACTGTACGTAGGTGCATCATTTTTCCGCTGTAATATTATTTTAATGTGTTTACAAATGTTTGGGTAACTATACTTTAGATGATTATCGCATTGCACATTTAATAAGCACCTGCTTCAACGCGTCGAAAACAACATAATAAATATACATATGAATACATTATTAATACACCGAGTTATATTGTGGTAGCGGTAATTCAACGTATGCGATTATTCAAAGAAATGTCATTATACATTGACATTCATATAATACAACCATGTAGTGCCGTGCAATATACATTAAATATGTACCAATAATATTATATCTTTTGTATGTAAAATATAATGCTTAACACATAATATATTATACATACACACGTGTGCGTACATAATATTTTATATTTAATACATTTTAGATTTAAACGTGCGCGTAAGCATTAAATGATTAAAACGAGTAAACACATTATAAATATATATATACATATATATTATTCTTCCTGCGATATTACTTGTAAGCGTACAGAAAATGTACTTAGATTTTTAAAACACACATGTACGTCACACTTTGCACTAGTTTAATTTTGAGTATGAAAAAACGTCCCTACTACAGTATATATATATATATATATTATATTTATATATATGTTACATTTATAACAGTTTTGAGCTCGATCACTACCGTGCACCTATAAGTATAATATAACACATCGATTAGGGAGGATATCAATGTTCATGTGAAAAAACGGGCACGTCACATGATTTTTAGTTTCAGTGGAGCCATGGCAATTTTTTTTGACGACAACGCGCTTTTATTTTCATTTTTCGGTTGCAAAACTATAAAAACAAAACAGTTTGAAATATTTCTTGCAGCGCTAATGCTGTAGACAGGACATTTTACACAGCTATATATTATTATAAGTGGCACTTACCATCGATTCGCTTCAAATATGCTAATTATATGCGTAATACAGAGATATATGGCCAGAGTCATGATTGTATTACGTAGTATTATATTTTGTATTCGATTGGTTTTATTTTATTATACTCTTTTCTCCAAGTCACTATTGTAAATTAAAATATAGATAGTTTGGCTATTAGTTCTTAATAAAAATATGTAATATTTTTATACTAACACTTTAAAATATATTTTTTGTTTCGATATCATAAAAATTGATTTGACAAACAAGACAAGTGTTTATAGCTAGCAAAATGTATTATTTCGTAATAATTGTATATAAAAGTGGTGAACTTCGAAGAATATGTTGGATGAAAAAAAATGCCCAATTGGTAAAAAATATAATCTCTATCTGAAAAAATCAAAGATAATATTGTATAAAAAAAGAAAAAGTAGGGAACTATTCTGCTTTATACAGTAGGTATTAAGTGAATCTCGCTATTAAGTTATAATATTATATTAATATTATGTAAATAGTATTAAATTATCTTTTTAGTAGGTATGTTACGGCTAGAGTCCAAAATTTGGCTAAGGTGCACATTATCCGGATATTGTGCATTCTAGCTTTACTGGTTGGAAAAGTAAACACTTAACATTTAAAATCATAGTTTTGTAAAAATTATCCGGCTAAAGTAACTTTAGTCATCGTGTTATGGCTAATGTAATTATATTTTATTTGAATAAAATTAATTAATATATGTTAATAATTACATATTAATAAACTACATGGTATTCCTATACTAACCAAGTATTTTGAACATTAGCCATTGATTGATAGTAAAAAATATGTCATTATTAGGTGGTCAGGATTATCAGCGTTATGTGTGTAAATCAAATTGCAAAACAAATAAATGCAAATGTAAAGCATTAGGAATTTTATGCAATTCAAAATGTCATCAAAGTTTACTATGTTCAAATAAATAGTAATATAAAAAATGTTATCTAATAAATAATGTTAATAATATTTAATAAAAATAAGTTTAATATTGCATCAAATTTAGTTTATCAATATTTAATTTTTAACTTAATATATGTCATAACACGATGGTTAAAGTTACTTTAGCCAGGTAATTTGTGCAAAACTATGATTTTAAATGTTAAGTGTTTACTTTATCCTACCAGTATAGCTAGAGTGCACAATATCTGGATAATGTGCACTTTAGCCATATTTTGGACTCTAGTCGTAACAGGTACATCATAAAAATGTTATGTATACATTCCACATAATTTAAATTATTTTAACAATAATAATAATCTTGCAATCATTTTTTATGCATATGCTTGTATATATGTATATAGATCGTACAGAATTTTAATATGATGGGTAAAAATCTACTGATGGAGAAAATAAGCTATAAACACGATATTGATAAATACAATGAAAAATTGTAAACAGCAATATTTCCATATGCAAATTAGTAAAGATGCTTTATGTCGTGGGGGCTTCCCGAGATGAGTTTGGCGATATAAGTGAGCGGGTAGAAGATTCTCATTTTTTTTAACCTAGCTTATTATAATATAATACAATCAAAAATTATAAAAAAATTATAATCTATCGCAGTAGGAAGGGGTTTATTTTACTTATTTTATTTGGGATATTATTTTCTCGGCATAACTACAGCCATCTATCTAATCGCAAACTCTAAAAGTAGGTAGTGCCCATATATTATAATCGGCCATCTATATTATTTAATAATATTTGACTTTTTTTTTAAGTCTAATGTGCTTTAATATACATATTATAGAATGATACAAGTAGCACACTACCGTATATCATTTCTGAGAGAGTAGTCTTGACGCGTTAACAATCAAATTAAAATACAATCAAAAAGGAAAAATAAATGAATAATTATATTATCGATAATAGATGATCACAAGTTTTACAAAAATTGGTTTCTCAGTACCTACACAATTAAAATTAACTCATAATAATTTTTAATATATGATATGTACTAGTCACTACATGTCTACACGTTAAACTACATACAGATTTTTAACAATAAAGTGTACCTTTACCACAGTAAATTATCATATTTTCATTTTTACTATAAAACTATGATCTAAAATTGATTTTGGCGAATAAGGTACATTTATTACAATTATTATTAATACACGAGAAATTTGATCGAGACATTGGGCATTCCGGCCCAAGAAATTCACAGAGCGTGCCTGGGCACACCGTTCACGCCCTGAACGCACGCCTATGATTACAGCGCAGTAAACATATAGCTATTTGTTGTCCTCCCGCTACCTACGATATGATAATATTTTTTAACAATATATATGTCGTATCCGCATAGTGAAACCACTTATTTCATGAACTGGACAATACCTATATCGTGTACTTTGTGTAATTATTATTTTATTATATAATGTTTCATAAACTATCATTATACATTTATATGTATATTATATTTTATTATATAAATAATTATATTTTAACAAAAATATTTTTATTTTATTTTTCACGATTGATTATGACATTGACTGTTACCTATTTATTATGAAATAATAAACTGCAAACACAATAGTAACTGTGTTATACACAAACACTCCTAAATGTTATTTTTTGAACAACTTAGGAGTTACATAATAGGTATCCGTCAACTGTCATCCAAATATCCGATAAAGAAACATTCATATGATATCGGATGTGAAATTACCGAAATTAAATTTGATATCTCTCTAATAGCCTCATTATAATATAGATCACGGATATAAAGCATTATTATCTTTATTGATATTGAAAAGTATGCTTTATAACAGTCAATGTCATAATCAATCGTGAAAAATAAAATAAAAAATTTTTTTGTTATAATATAATTATTTATATAATAAAATATTATATACGTATAAATGTACAGTGATAGTTTATGAACCATTATATAATAAAACAATAGTTACGCAAAGTACACGATATAGGTATTGTCCATTTCATGAAATGGATGTCCATATAATGTATTTTCGTCAAAATTCACGAACTGGACGAATTTCACTATCTGGACATCCAGTTCATGAAATGAGTGGTTTCACTATGTGGATGCGACATATATATATATACATTATACATAATATATAAACAGTCAATATAATATTATAACAACGGTGCACAGATTAAACACGTCCTGACGACCGCATTGCACATACGTATTGGTGTGTTTCAGGAACAGTCTACGGACGCGCAAGCACAGCGTGTGCATAGAACCAGACCTGTCGCGGCGCAACTCGAACGCCATTTTCTCGGCGCTGTTGTTCCGGGAGGAGAGCCGGGCCATGAAAACGTCCATGATGGTGCTGTCCACATTCCTGTTCAGCTGGACGCCGCTGTTCGTGCACGTGTCCATTGCCCAGTTGCCGGACGAGGTGGTGTACACGTGCGCCCTGTCCGCGGCCACGCTCAACCCGCTCGTGTACGTGTTCCGAAACGACGCGTTCCGCAAAGAGATGCTGCGCGTGGTGTGCAGCCGCAAACGGTTGCGCGAGTCGGCCGCGGCCAAGGCGTCGTCCGCCGGCCACCAGCAAAATCGGCTGACGACGGCCCACCAGTCGGACAGCGTGTCGGTGCACAGTTTTCGCATGTCGTCCGTCGAGTGCCAACACTCGTTCGACTCGGTCACGCCGCCGCCCGCCGACTTCGTCGCCACGTACAACCCGGTAAGACGTCTCTACCGCCGCCGCCACATTGTGCGCGGGGTTCCTTTAGCCGACGGCGATCTCGTTCTTAATTCGATGTGTCGAGATTGACTTGAGATCACAAACAGGGGGATGGGAGGGGGGGAGGCAGAGGAATTCGTCGAGTACGCCCACCCACCGCCCCGGTCCTCGTCGTAGTTCCTCGATGATGCTGCACGTCAGTTTGTGTTCATACTTTATGATCGTTTTTTTCTAATGCTCAGATTTTTATAATACCGTTCGAAGAGTTTCGAGGACCGCTCTTTTTTTACTGAAAATTATCAATCAGTATTGGTTGTCCAAGCATTTTAGAGCACATGCGTTTGTATTCAAATTTATTCGAGTTATTCAATGTTTAAAATTTGTTTATAGATTATAGGCTTTAGTTGTGTTAACTTTGGTTTTAATAGTAACTTATTGAAAAACAGTAAAAATATTGTATTTTTTTCTTGTACAGTCTTTTCCTTTACGCACATATTTATAAATATGACATAATATAATGTGGAAATAAAGGGATTATAACAAGACTATCTATTTAGTATGATAAAACGTATCTTTTTCAAAGTTTGTTGATACAAGGGGACATAATACCTACTCAAAAAAGAGATAATCCTATTAGACTAATTTAACTTAACGTATTATTCAATTTAAAGTATACATAGACAGCTGTACATCATACACCTAATAATGTATTAAGTCATACGGTCGTGTCAGATACAGACCTAAAAAGGACTACCTACTTTGATATACTCGTACCTATTGTAAAAAAGTTTGGAATTTTATTATTTTTACAGTTATTTGAAGTTCTAATTTGACATAGTTACATATTTTAATGACGAATACCTAGCGATATTAATTATTTTGTTATAATTCTTAAACATAATTAGTTAAGATTTAACAACTTGACGTATATTATTAATTTTACTACACATTATGCAATGCTATTTAATAGAGTTTTAAATGATCAAATTTATTGCCATATTTATGGCAATAGTTATGTAATACATGTAATAGGTGTATTATAGGTTATAAAATATGGTAACTTTTATCTGTAATGTCATAAGTTGAAGGTAATATAGTTTTTTGTATACGTATCTCAATTTTATATATTTATTTTGGTTATTGAAATTTTTAAAATATTTATTTTAACTTTTTATTGCATTAAACTTACACATCATAAAACTTTTTTTAATCAAGTTTCTTAAGTTTTCTCTTTGAGTTACGTTTTATGTTCAGAACATAACCATATAAATTTTAGGGTTTATATTATATAACTTATAATATGTGAGTTTCTTACATTGATTTTGTTAATTTATAAACGTATTATTGAAATATTTATTTATATTTTTATCGTTTGATATTTCTTACTATCGGAACATTTATAAACATAAATATAATTTGAATTTCTGATTTGAAGACGTAATAAATTAATCTAAATATATTTTCAAAGATCTTCTTGTAATAATCAAAATTATATTTGAGTTTTGCTGCTACAATTTTAGAAATAAAACGTATTAATCAGAAATTCGTTTAATATGTTTAACAGTAAATACATTTTGTCAACCATCTATTGCAATTGAAATACAATATATCTAAATAGTTGGCTTAGTCATCTATATATTATTTTGTCTTCTTAAAACTTTTTTAATTATTTCTATTTACAATCGATATGACAGATACATTTCGTTCATTCAGTGCACTGACTGCTTCATTTCATTCTTTCACTTATGCAAAAAACTTCATTACCCATTGGTGGTATAGATTTACCGCGTATTGCACAGTGTGCAAACTTAGCAAATTTCGATTAAATATCTGAGAATAATTATATTAAAACGCCGCTTTAATGTTTTTTATCCGATTAGCATATAATACCCATAAGATTAACTATATATAATAAGTAATCAACGTCAAAGGAAAAATTACAAAATTCAATTTGAAATTCGCTTATTATATGTTTATTATCACGGTAATGCTTATAATATCGTATACATAGTATGTGATAATTCATTTATGAGTTTTTTGTTTCAGAATATATTATTATAACGTAATAAAATTTATAATAATATTTAACATAAGCATAAGATGGTGATTTAAATTTAATACAACTGCCATTTTTTTGTTATGTTAACTTTATTTACTTATATATTCATGCATACGTTATACTTATGTATTATATACCCACTGAGATTGACTACTGTCGGATAAACATTTGTTTTTACTACTTTTAAGTATTACTGAAATATATAGATATTTTAATTCCATAATTAATTGCAACTTATATATTTGACGTGCCCTATACTGATTTGAATGTTTCATTTAATTTTTTTAATCACCAACGTAATTAAAAAATATCTAAGTTATATTGATTTAACTGATCTCTAAAACTATTAGGCACTTTAATTGAGCCGCATCTATTTATTTTGTTTTTTTTTTCAGTACACTTAAATAAATTAAATAGGCAAGTAGGTATCGATCTGTTGTATATAAGGGAGGCGTCGAGTAGTTCATTGTAATGGATGTGTTAAATTTGAATTAAATGATTTATTATTGTAAACAAAAAAATGATTCTAAGTGGAGATGGTTAATCAACTTACATCACTAAGTATATTTTAAGATTTGTTTTTTGATATAGTTATTGAAGTAATTTATTTTACTTCTAGTATTACAGTTGTTCAGTTTAATTGTTTTCCGAAAACATTGTATTTATCCTTTTATTAGTATTTAATTATTATAATAATATATATATACCATATCATATTATTGTTATTATACTAAATTTTTATTTAGTATCGCTTACCGCAAAAAATAATTAGGTTAAAAGTATAAATCTATACTAGCTTAAAATTAATCTACATATTTTGAAAATTAAATTAGATGCAATAAAATTCATAATCAGTACAGTTTTTACTAATACACGGGTGTACACGTGTTTATTGCTCTCCGTATCATTATTGTCTCAGAGGCAGTAGTTCATTTCGTTATAACTTATATCATGCAACATTATGATAATATGTAATATCATGTACTGGACCCGCCTATTATGTTGTCGCTTCAACCATCAATTGCAAAAAAACAATAATGCTATTCGTCTTTGCATTCTAGCTCTTTTTGATATGAGGATAAAAAAATCAAATCTTTTTGTTCACCTAATTGTTTTACGGCCTTGTCAATTTCAGGTGACAAGACTGAAACTGACTTATTTCTGCTCTATAACAATACAATAAAGTGTGAGCTAATTCTTTTAATCGAAGATATACTTAAATCTATTCGTATGTTGGCAATTTACGTAAAAAATGTCAGCAAATTTTCGATATTCTACAAAACATTAATACAATTCACGGATCTTAATAATTTTTTTCTTGCGTAAATCCACACCATCAATCTGAATAATCCACTAACCATTAAATAACCATCTATTCTTCAATGCAATATTAAAATATTTAAAGAATAACCATTAAAAAAAACCAAACAAGACAAAATATCAAACACAAAATATCCGTACTTATCGTCATTTCATTAAATCTGGGCTTTGTGAATCAATCATACGCAAATATATAGCAGCTCAACCAACAAATAATATTTCTAACTAAAAATTTCTTGATTGAAATAAAAACTTAATTAAACATTCTAACTTTTCTACTCACATTCCTTATAAATAAGACCATTGTAATTTTCCATAACTACCTTTAAAAATCTATTTATACCCACTTTATAAGTACTTCATTATAATTTTTATAATTAATATTGTCATTATCTGAATCAATTTTTTTACATTCAGTTATATAATAATTAAATAGACTTAAGCCAAAAATAATTGTTAACTTAAACTCAAAAAAAAAAAAAAAATGTGGCTATGAATTTTTAATAATTTTATATATACATAAGAATAACTTATGAAAAATTTTGTATTAAATTTTCAATAATTTTAACTTAACAGATAGTTTTATTATTTAAATATATAAAAAAAACCAAAAATAATTATAAACAAAGGCATAATTTCAGTTTTCTTCGCATGTGTGACTGTGCGAAGTTTCAGTTAGCCATTTTAAAATTTCAGCAAGTTAAATAAAAATAGATGTGGGTACCTAGATATTATTCTGTTTTCAATTTTTTTTTTTTTACAGATTATGAATCACACTAACATAAATAGTAAAAATCAATTTAAAAACTAACACATAATAAATCATTGATTAAATTACCAGTGAAAACAAATAACCGATGCATAAAAAGCTTGAAGAAGACAAATGCAGCAGTAAAAATATAATACCTAATAATATTTATACTTAAAAATCTTCTTATATGCATATATAAAACTTTAATATAAGCAAAACACACAAATATTTATATATATATAACTAGCTGACTCAGCAAACGTTGTTTTGCCAAAAAATTTTTTTAAATATTATGCGGACCCGGCGAACTTAACGCCTTCTGATAAACTTTAGAGTGATAATAAAACATATAGTTCAAGAATTTATTTATTGATTTATTTGAATTGAAACAGAAATCAGTTGAGTGCAATATGATAAACAATGTTTTTCGTTAAGGTTTTAAGTTTTTAAGTTTTTTTAAGTTTTCCAAAATTTTTTTCGTAAAAAATTTCTCCTGGCAATTACGAACAATTTAAAAAAAATTTGAGCCAAATCGGCACAGCCGTTCTCAATTGATGAATTGTTATACATTTTTGGCTCCATTTTTATATATATATATATATTTAAATTTAAATAAGCGGATATATACAGTTTTTTAGTTTATCAAACACATCTACAGCTTCATCTAGATTAGATTGTTCTAGATTTATATTATTAATGACAAGTTTTGATTTATTTTAAGATATTATCTATTAATTATACTATGTACCCATTTTTATTATTTTACTTAAAATATATAATACACATAATAATAAAAATTTGATACCTAATGTACAGCACAGCAATACTTATTTACCTTTTGTTTTTACGTTTAAATGAATGCGAAAAAGAAAGTTTATAATACAATAATAATTAAAAAAATATTTTTATTTCAAATTTTAATCCAAAGAGACGAATTAGTCTATTTAAAAAACTTAAAAATAAACTATTCACCATATCTTAAACTCAACGTTTAATATACCTACTTTATTATTAAGTACCTACGAAAAGTTATGAAGAACATTTTTATTTCATGCGAATCCCCAATGTTATCGCTATTACATAAAATGAACTGTATACAATGATGCTATATTTATCTAAAAAGTAATTATAAAACATAAAATAACTAAAACGCTCGGTGATGTGGGTTGACAGACAGTTTCCGCTCAGAATCGTTTTTCATGTATAATGATATATCATTGAATTAAAGTTTAACATACACATAATAGTGACCTACTTGATACCTAATGTACAGCAGAGAGTTATCCACTTGCTTACTTTTGTTTGTTTATTTTTCTTGATAATTTTGTTATTTTTGACTCCCTAAGTATTAACTAGATCCAATTTTCCATTAACCCATCTCCCCCAAAATTGAAATTTAAAGCATTTTTACTGTTCCAAAAAGTAATGAAAATCAAGAATAAACACTCATAATTTTAAAATTAATACATTCACCGTCCCGTTAATAATTTAAAATAAAAAAAACTATGAAACAATTTTCGCATATGACCTTATAATGACACTACTGCAATCTATAAAATATAATATGGGAATGAAATTGATCTATTCACAAACTACAGTGCTGTACAATAAATATATCTATTTAACGCTGATATAGGTACAATATTATATTATTAATTGCTATGCATGAAAAAAAAATTTCCAACGCTCTTTCATTTTTTTTTTTTTTTTTTAAATACATTATGGTTGCTGTTGTCTGTCATTGTACACAACGTTGAGTTTTCGATTCTTCTACCATTAGTCAAAGCTGTCGGACCTAAAATCATGACTTTACCATATTATACATATTCTATCCTCCTTGAAATTTAAGCAATATCACTGCTTTTGCATAAATTAAAAGCTGTCATTCTAGTTTAATTTTCTCTGACTTTATTTTCTCTTTAACATTCAAGAGAGTTGGTTTAAAATTGAACAGGGTAGTGATAAGGTGATAGAAATAATTACATTGTATTTTAATTATAGGTACTTTGACCTATGAGACCTTTAAATGATTAAATTGTTAGTATCAGACATATAAATAGATTAGGTAGTATAGAACTATAGTAAACGGTTACTATTCATCTTTAATTATTTTTTATCAACACATAAATATAATGTATTTTATTAAAATAAATACCGAAAATTATGCATGTCCAAATATTCTATCATAATACGAAGGCGTTATATTATTTTCATATATAGTAATTAAGTATAAGGTTCATTAGTTAACGTTATTAATTTAAATAACTAAAAATTGTTTCTATAAGACTATAATAGATATAAAATATTATATATATATAATTTTTATTATTATTTAAATTGCATTATCATTAGTCAATTTTTACCTGTAATTTTATTAAATTTTATAATGATATCATATTATTATTAAACACGTCAAACTATAAAGAAATATATAATTTTTTTTTTATTTATCAATTTGTTCTTTGGATAAAATGTCATTGTTTGTTGTTAGAAGTATTTGAAATGTTTAAAAAAAAAAATTGGCTTATATCGATAAACAAAAAAAAAAAAAAAACAAAAAATCAGAGTTTATTTAGAAGTTTTATTTAATTATTTATAAGTTAAAGAAAAAATAAAATAAATAATAAAACAGAAAAAAAACTTTTCCTGTGATAAAATTAAATATAACAAATTTAAATTATTTTAAGTTTTAACAGAACATTAAAATTCTGATTTTCAATGTATAAGATAACTTAATATAAACAACAATAGTATATAACATATAACATATCATTTTATGGCCTATACTAGTTTCTGAAAACTATTAAAAAAATTATATGATGTAATAATGTAAATTAAGGTTTTATAGTAGGTATCAAATGTGGTTAATATGTAAATATGAAAGAAGCTTATTGTTAATTCATTTTTAATTAAATGGTATTAATCTTCAATTGTTATTAATTTTCTAAAAATTGAGTTTTTAAATTTTACAAGACATGTAATGATATCCAACACCATTGTTGTGAAAGAACAACATTTATTGACAAAACACTGCAAGTTAAATACAGTATAAAGCTTGTTCTATGCTCTTATTTTGAATTTTAAACAATCAAAGAATGTCGTGAATATTATTTTCGTATTTGGCATTACAAAAATAATGTACATAAAGTTGTATGACGAACAAAAATTACTGTTTTTTATTATCTTATAGATAAACGGATCAGAGCGGTGTACACGTTACGAGAGTGTTACATTCCGATTGGCCCAACGTCGTTGCCAATACTGCAGTAGACAGAGTTCGGACTCATCACTGAGCAGTAATTATCCATTGTTGATCAACAAAAACCGTTCATCAAGCGAACCAAACACGCCAAAACATCACAACAACAACGAAAACAGAATCGTCATGTTTAAGGTAATTATTGAGAGCAAATGGATATCCATATTATCTAACTCTATGTAAAGAGAACACAATATAATTATTTCATTAGTAGTGTTCCGTTTATTATACAAATTTATCAGATATAAAACTGAAAATTTTTATAATTTATTACATAAAAAAATGATTATTAGCACTGACCTGAAGTATTAACCAGGATTTTTTTTTTTTTTTATTTGAAAAGAGGAGAAGGCTTTTAAATAATTTTGAATACAGTTTTTATTTTTACTTTTTTACATAATTGATTTAAAAAACGTTTAATTTTTAATTTTTAAAAATTTCAGGGAAGCTCAAACTCTATGAAACCTTTTTATTACGAACTTGAAATAGCTTATCACTTTCTATTATATTCCCTCTTACTAATATAAGCACACTAGACGCTACTTATAAGTTTTATGAATTAGATTTAGTTGCTTATTAGGCTCAAAATTGTGTGTGATAACCCGAACGTAACCAAATACATTTAATACAATTGTTTAAAACATTTAAATTTTGTAAAACAAGGTGAAAAATGTTGACATTAAATTGATAAAATTGTATTTAATAGGTTTAATTGTATTTATAATTAATTTTGAATAGTTATTTTTATGTAGTGGATTCAATTTATATGTAATTTTATTATACAACGTAAGTATAAGCAATATATCCCAAAATAGTTAAAAATAATATTAAATATTATAAATTGTTATATGCAAAATTAAAATATTAAATATTATTTGATTCATTTATGATAAGTAAAAATAATAATATAAACTTGAAATGTGTATAAGTTAATATTTGTATACGCGTATTTAATAGCTACTATAATAATATAACAACAAAATATAATTACATAATAACATATAAATCATATACAATTATATTGAATAAAAAATAACACATGGTCAATTAAATTCATTGAAAAGAAATTTATTTTCAAATGACATTTTTACTGAAAGTTAATAATATTTAAGTATGGATAACATATCTATATACACTCTTGTTACTATTGAAATACATTTAATAGTTAATACCTATTCAATAATATTACTTATCGTGATAATTTAGAAATTAATACAAGTTGAAATATCATTAATAAGCGTCCATTATAATATCAAAACAATTTTAAAGTAATAACTCATAAGTTGACCTGGATATACATTTAGGCTTTAATTGTAACGTTTATATATAATTTATATCGTTACTGTATAGTATTAATTCTCTAAGAATTTCAAATATTTGCATTTGATATTTTACAATGCACATATTATTTGTTTTAAAATATACAATTCAATTTGTATTTAAATAAATCCATGGTTCAGGCTAAAAAAATATTTAATCAGTACATGATTTACTTTTTCATACATTCATACATTAAATATTTATTGAATTTCAGTATAGGTTTGTTAAAAATGCCTCTGTATATTTCGAAGAATTAAAAATGTTACGGTATTTTTGAACAATGGTCTGAAAACTAATGATTAATGATTTTATTTTTCTAAATTAAGTTCTTTAAAATATGTTTTGTATAGAATACTAGAAAAAAAGATTTTTCTAAAACATCATACATACTTATAATTATTATATCTAAAAACAATGTAATTTATATTATACTATGCATTTTCTTGTCTATGAAATATCAAATTAAACTCAGAGTTTAATGTATTTATGATTACTATTCTGTTTTTTATTTTTTTTTTTTTTTGTTTTTTTTTTGTTTGTTCAGATAATTATATTTGAAACAGTTGAATAACTCTTATGAGCTGTATAAATTATGTTTACGCCTTTATTAGGTTTAAATTATAGTAATTATATTTACGCGTTAGATTATTGTTGAAGCAAAAAAAGCATCTATATCTGTTAAACTTGGCTTAAAACTTTTTTTCCAGAAAATATTTTGAACAGTTTAAATTTAAATAATATAATAATACCAATCTTTATTATGGAAGATAACTCCATTTATATAATAACATTTGTACAGTCACTACAATAGTCACGAGTTGAATAATGTTATTAATAATGCATATGTACGTGCGTTAGATTTAGATCATTGTACCTATACCAACAAGCAACAATGCTTACTTGTATACTGATACTGTCTATCAATAGGCCGTTCATTCAATTTTGATTTTTGATACACTATACGTAGACTCGGGCTACGGTTGGATCAGAAAAAGTTTTTCCCTGAAATACAATAACGATACAAAAAACGAACGTATACAAAATAAATATATTATATATATTATAGGTATACATTTTACTCGAAAACCTACAAAAGTTTTCACTCATAAAAATCATAATATCATCTATCTCACGACAAATATTACTTACCATTTGTTATAACTTATAAATAAATATATAAAATTATATTACTGTCTAGTAATATGAAAATACATTAAAAAAATATATACATATATATATATATATTGTATAATTATACAAAAATATTGAGTTGTTTTAGTATTACAGTATAACATAATAATAAACTTATGTATAATATTATATAGGTGAATCCGAGAATTCTATATTATGTGTCTTCGTCGTTGCATAGATCTGAATAGTATTAAAAATTATATCATATAGTTGAAGTGAACAGGTACTTTTTATTTATCTTTTTGAATTGACTTACTAATTTTAGATTATTCTAATTTATGTTATAAATAATTCTTTACTCCGCAATATCAACAATAGCTGCATAATAACATAAAATAAAAAAAAGACATTGTTTCAGTGTATGATTAAATTACCTAAATGCATGTGAGAACAAATAGGTACTCGTATGTGCAAAATAAATAGTATTAAACAAAATAGAAAATATTTTTAATTTTGAAGATTAGAATAGAATTTTTGTCCTTTCTAAAAACCATGCTAAAATCGGAACCGACGTGTTTGTTCTTTCAAGAATTGAAATGAACCGAACTGAAACTAATGTCACAAAGGATTCAACCCCCGTGGCTTAATTAATGATTTTTAATATAAATGAATATGTACCTATAAACAGTTTATAACGCTATCTACTAATAGACTACAGTTAACATCAAGTCTCATGTTATAGTATAATAATTATAAAATTATTACTGTATAAGTTATTATTGTTTCAAAAGTATATTTTTTTATTACCACAACATTAATGCAATTCATACCTTTGATTTCATTTTATTTTTTATTCTTTGATTATTATTGTTATTAAAATAAATAGGTAGTATAAGATATGAATAAATACCTTTATTTGATGAGAAAATCATCAAAACTGTATGTTATTACTTATTACAATATGGTGCTGCTGATTTGTATACATAAATATAAATGTATTTTTAACTTTTTTAAAGCATAGTAAAAGTTTTGAAAAAATCATTTGTTATAACACTTTAAAATACATTATGCGCACACTTTGCTGTTAATTTTATAAAAAAGTATTTTTTTTTAAAGTACAAGTTTTACCGAGAAATAGGTACTTAAAATTCTAAACATGTTTAGAAACATTATTTTTTTTTTTTTTTACAAAAAAGTACAATTTTTATTCTGAGAAAAATATATAAATTATTTTAATTTTTAACAAATAACAACTAGATGATTTAATTTATTTAAAATTGTATATTTTAATTCTTTATTTAATAATATTATTTACTTATACATATAAAGTCATAGCCTTAAAAATACTTACTAACTAAAATTGAATTTTAAATGAAAATTACCATTGATCATAAATTATTTATCTCATGTTAAACTTTTTACTATTTAAAACCATAATAAATTATAAATATTGTTTGTACCTATTTAATTATAACACGTATTTAATAAATTATATTTTCTAATATTTCTTAGTTTTCGTTTTAATATTATATCTAAACTATAATGAAAAATACAACTGCGTTTATACATTAAGTAAAAAAATCAGTCTGGTAATGAATGAAGAAAAAAATAAAATTATAAAAATAATGTCAAGTCATTATGAAAATTTACCAGTTGAGAACTATTTATTTTAAAAAAGAAACCAACAATATGAATAAATATATATATATATTCAGAGTTAACAATTACATAAAATAATAATAAAATTGAAGCATATAAATATGCTATAACATCAATGTGAAAAAGATAAATAACTCATTAATTAAGTAATTTTAATCGAAGTTTTTCCTTAGAAATAAAAATTATATTTGTACACGACAATAGACAGACCAACAATAACTTAAGGATTTAAAATATGGCCTTTACCATCACGAGTGGAACAAAAATTAAGGGTCTTTGTAAATAAGGTGCGTTAAAAATAATATGCGAATCCGTTATTATATATTGAGTTGAAATATTATAAATACAAATATAATAAAATAATATTTACTTATTTATTTTTATAGTATATTATATTATAAATATTATTACTTGTGAAGAAAATAAACTAGATTTTGATAGTACCCGTAATGACAACCTATAAGAAGGAACAAAGACGTTTATCACGTGAATCAAAAAAAGGCAATAAAAAAAGTTAGAACATTTATTGAATGGCAACAAAAAAGAAGAACTTTTAGAGAGAGAGAGAAATCAAGTTGATAAACGGGGAGCAGAAGTGATTGACAGGGATGAAAGAACATATAGGATCGAAAAAATGGTTTGCCTTTCATTGTATATAGATTTAAAAAAATATGTAAGCTTTCAAGGGTTAGCTTAATAACGAGGAACATATTAAGTGATGGAGCAATGATAAATTGAAACAAATATGTCAAGCAATCAAAACAAATTTTAAAATATATAGGAACAAAAAGAAAAAAATGAATCAGTAGTATCACCTTAAAATATACTCGAGAAGAAACAAGTACTGAGTAGAATAATGAAAAATGTACAAAGTAATAAATTTTGGTAAATATTAGATAATTCACTTAGCCCGAGATACCTTACGGAGAGAAAATAATAATCCAAATAGGTTGCGTGTAATAAAACACCCCATCAGAAATACATGGACCGTAGACGTTCTATAGGTTAAAACGTAGCAATTATTACCCTATCAGTAGTAGGTTTTAAATTGCATCTAAGAACTAAGCTGTAGCTCAGTCTAGTAGAAGACATCGAAAACGAAATGTTTCACGGTTCAATGGAATATGTCCAAGGAATAGAATTATATTTACCAAAAATGTGCATTGTATCGGCAAAAGTTCTTAACAAATATTTCTACAGTATAAAATTATTTCTATAATGTTTTATGGTATTTCTGATATCCGAGAATTTTTCTCAATCTTGTTGTCAAACATCAAACGAATATTTTTTGAATTTTTAAATTTAGCAAGTTTTGTCCAAATGCTATCCCGTTTTATTGATTTATTTCCGAGTAAAAATATTTTGGAAAATATTTACTTTGTTTTATCGCATAAATGTCTTCAGAAAAATATAATATGATTTTTGGAATCTTACATTATACAATATAGTGTATAAATAATTATTTATCGACAGGTGTTATTTGACAATACTCTTGTGTGCTTTATATAACAAACAAAAAAAAAAAAAAAAAAAATGGTCATACCTCTTTATACATCGGTGTACAGAACACATATAATATAAGAATGTGTATAGATATTTACAATACTAGGATATTATTACTATATATTTTATCAGAGCCATGAAATATATCGTTTGCGAATGACAAAATCCAATTTTAGTTTACACGAAATCGCAGAAATGATAAACACGAATATATTTACATATAAAGTGGTCGTCTATATAACTATTGATCATATTATTATGTTTCATACGAATAACATTGACTAAGTTAATAAACAAAAAAAAAATTCTTATTACTAATATAATACTATAACACTGCATGTATTTGAGGCCAATTATTTTTAAGGGTGACCAATCATTTTTACTATATAGTTATACCGACCGCATGATTATTATGATCTCCACGGAGATATTTTATCGGATTCATTCTCTTTGTTTTATAGTTTCAACCAAACATATACACAATATGTTTTATGTATGATACATGGACGTAAAATTTTGATTCTAAGCGTAGCAATGAATGTTTTGGTTTTATAATGATGAGTGACTTTTTTTTATATCTTAAGAATCTTTTTGTACTAACAAAAATGCTTTGATCATAAACTTTAAGTGTGGCTTTTGATAAAAATTGGTTATAGTCGGTACTTTGAAGTGGTCAAAAGTAAAAAAAATGAGCTGTATTTTTCTTAATAATCATGAAAAACTAAAAATATTACGAAAAAATGGGAAAGATATTTGCACTTCGCCAGTTTTGGACATTGACGATTTATTATAATTTAAAAACAAATAACCATACAGATACTAGAAATGTTCATAAAATATTTATATTAACTTAATATGTCTATAAAATGTTAATTTAAATAATGGTTTAATTTTCAAAATATTATAACTCTTTTTCAGCTTTTTATTTTATTCAACAACTTAATCATTTATATTGTCAAAAAAAAAAAAAAAAATTATCTTAAACAAAAGTTATGTCATTTCTTAAATTATTTAAATTTTTGATCGCATTATATTATAATATTTTACATTATATTTTCTAAAATAAATATTAGCTTATGCTGTATATAATGCTCACGTATAGTGCAAAAAATATGATATGTTTTATATTATAACAACGTTAATAATAATAATTATCAAGAAACCTCTAAAAATAATACCCTTAAATATTTTTTATAGTAAAATGCATTATTTACATGGTTATAATAAATATAATGAAATCGAGTACAATATTATATTAAATGCATATTGTTTTTATTCTAACCATACTCTGGTTGTCTAACCTATCTTAAACTAACTTAATGTTTTTCTGCACTAAAGGTATCGGAAGTGGAAACCAAAAGAAACAAACTGCAAAGGATGATGGCGATAGACAACGATTGTCCATCGACTCGAGTCTAATAATGATATGCCAATGAAACACAAGCCAGACCTTAACTGATCCTATCACGCCGCCGGCGATATATAGGCACTCGTCAACGTCAACATTCGTCGAAGGATATACGTAGTCTATAGAGTAATGTTTGAATATTTTTTGCATTATATAATATTATCATTATTATGTTCCATATTGGAATCTGGATAAATCAAATTATATGAACATGTGGTAAACTTCCTCCTTCTCCCCACACAGTTGCCAAAGAAAAAAAAATATTAATTTAGTGTTAAATGTCAATTCACATGATGGAATAATGTTAGTTATTGGAAAACATCTGATTACTTGAATGTATAAAATATATTAAATTATATATTATATATGTATAAATATATTATACAGATAAGACTGCAATTGTTGTGATCTATAGTCCATATAATAAATGTATGTTCATTTGTACACGTGCCGTAACGAAATGATTCACTGCTATTAATAAACCAATTTTTTATGTACCTACTGGATGACTTTTTTTCTCACAGCGAAATCCGCTTTAACCTAATCTCTATATAATAACGGAATAATTAAGTTTTGTTTTTCGTCTTCAAAACAATTTGCTTTGTATGTATTGGATGAATAAATGTCTTACTTTGTGGATATTACGAAAACCATTCGAATCGGCATCCTTGGCTTTTGGTTTTATTTAAAATGTAAATCTAGACGACTAAACCATGACATATTAATATGTATTTATTGAGTACACTGGGATAGTGTAATAGTTAATAACTGCAATAATATTATTAACAAATATATGATAAATTAAAACTGAGAACAAAAACAAAAATAAATAAATTTAATCTTATCGTACAGCTTAAATATACTTTTTAACGAATTTAGATGCATTAGTTTTCAATGCAGCTTAAAAGTATCGTTGTATTGTATTAGATAGTTATTATTTAGTTATTCGAATTAATTTTTTGGATGCATCTACACTGCAGTGATAAGATTTAGCGTTTAGATTCGTAACGGTTAAATAATCCTTTACACGTACAACTTATTTCTATATAATTTTTTCATCTTCATATTGTGATACTTATCTCATATGTAAATCTTAGTATTTTAAAACCTATGTTAAATGTACAATGTTTTAGAAAAACAAGGTTCAATTTTGGTATTTGTAAAATGAAAATAAAAATTAAATAGAGGCTCATATTGTTAATTCTGTACACTGTTAATTATAAATTTATTATAAACCATGATCCATGACCATTTATTATTTTCGGTATAAATTGTTAGTGTAGTGAGAAAACATAAATTATTATTACAATTTTTTTAGAGTAGATATTTAACCCTTTGGCCAACATATAGTTTTTTTAATAATCTCATATAAGAATGAAAATATCTTCATTGACTTTATTTTAGTATTTTGAACAATTATTTTTATAGTTAGATAGCTTATAAAATATAGTATTTATTATTTTTTAACTGTATAAAATATTTTAGTATATTCTTAAAATATTATAGTAATGTAGACAACAAGTACAAAATTACTGAATAAATAAAATATAATTTAGAATCAATCACTTGCTTCTTGTGTTACGTTAGGTCAAAATAAAAAAAAAACCAAAAATGTTATCAAATATGATTTAAATGTAGAAAAAAGGAGTAAAAATCTTATCGCTAATATCACGTAAAGTAAACATAAGTTTATTCAAGAAATATTTTTTCGAATTTGGATTTTCAAAAAGAATAATTATCGATATATAATAAATATAATTACACACACACACACATATATGTTTGTGTGTGTAATTAAAGTACTTATTTTGCGATCATAATAATTATACATTTTCATGATATAAATTATAAGTATATAACTTACAACAATTAAACTAGGTAACTAATTTTATCGATACTTTGAATTTTCTCTTAGGTATGCATATTTACTACTCTGTCTATATGTCTATATTGATAAATAGACTATTAAATAAAAATTTTATATTTTTTATGGTTACAAATGAACAAAATATGTTATGTTTACTATTATTATGTTTAATATTCAATTATTTTTGAAGTGCAGAGTAATTTATTTATTTTTTTTTAACATTATATAAAATTACAGTAATTTTGATTGTTGTATAATGAAGATATAAAATTATTGAGTAAATAAAACATTTTAAATTCAAATTTTACTGTATCATAGTTTAATTATGTATTTTTTTGTTTTATTCTCCAATATTTGAAATTGTATATTTCTAACTTGTTTCACATTAGCTGTGTATACAAATAGCAGAGAATAGCTAATTATATTTTTTCCATGAACAAAAAATTATATTATTTCATTTACTTGATAATTTAAATATATATTTATGTATATGTGTGTAAATAATATTTTAAATTTATAAATAGATATAGCATGAATAAATTATTAAAATTAATTTATTCATTGATATAAAAAATTGAAAATTATAAATTCTAAAATTGTTTTACTATAGCAACATATTATTTTAAGTAGATACAATTATTAAAATATTCTTTTATTTGACCAAATTTTTTTAATATTAAAATAATTAATTTTATTATAAATATATAAAACAATTAGCACGAACAGTTTTACGTGCAAAGTAAATAGACCATTTAATCTTATTTGCATTGCTTTAAAATATTTTACAGATTCCATTATTGAATGTGCTATTCTTCATTTGCTTTGACTTTATATTTTTTTAAATATATAAATTTAAATTATGTGATTGCCATGTCTTCTATAATATGAATAGATGAAAACAATTATATCCTTTGTTTTTTAACATTAATAATGAATTCAAATTATGTAAAACTATAACTTCGTTAATTGTTGTCAATGAATTAGAACTTTATTTAAACACTATTTTATAAAATAACTGTAATTTTAACTATACGTTTTCCACATCGTTCATTAAACTCGTCTAAATATTCAATTGTAAAATATATTACAACATGAATTACAGATAATAATTATGAATTAATCGTCAGTATAAAAATATAGAAGTAGTATTTATTCTTTAAATAAATATCAAAAATATTAGTATAATAGCAAATACAGATATAATATTAATATAAGCAACTGGTAACTTGTTTGAATTTAAAAACAGAATTATAATAATTTAAAGTAATTTATAGAAATATATATTATGTACTTTATAGTCTTTAACTTTGTTTTGTTTTTATTGTTTAATGTGATCAATTACATAATGTTAGCTTAACGAAATTTTAATTGTATAGTTGACAAGTATCACAGAAATGAAAGTTGTTAAATAATGTTATGAAAAGTTATTTTTTTTAATTTGTTGTGATGTATATTACTTTATCTAATATTAATTTTTCAAACTTATATATTTCATTAAGTTTTACTTTTTATTTATTTATAATTTTTCAGTAAATAAATCATTGTTTAATTTTTATTTAACAGATAAATTAAAAATATTATTCCTTTTTTTATAGATAATTATAATAATAAATACAATATATATATATATATATATATATATATATATATATATATATATGTGTGTGTGTGTGTATGTGTATATATAATGTACATTTTATTTTATTTAAAACTATTTATTCATTTTTTTCTCGAATATACTCATCGAATGTGATTTATTATTCTCATAGATATATTATTTAATATTGTGGTCTTAGCTTTTTACGATATGAATCCATATATTTACTAATAATTTAATGATTTAACAACAATTTATTATAAAAACAAACTTAAACGAATGATACATTCAGTGTAAAGTTACTATTAATCAAAGATTAATGTTAACGGCAATAGTTGTAAAGGCGGAAATTGAGCGAAAATAACGAATATATTTGAAATAACTGAATATATTATTTACCTTATATTGTGGTGAAGTTATTTTGCGAATTTGTAACCCGGGCTTAATAATATGGTTATAACTTATAAATATATCGATTGGTAAAAATATAACCACTAGAAGAAATTAAAATGCGTGCCGATGGAATACAAACAATTGAGTTTTACACTTGGTCAAGTAAACATAACTTTATTTTCGTTTTTTAAATAACGAATGAGGTGAAAATTGCGTTCCCAAAAGTTTTAATAATTTTAAGAATCCTACGAAATACTGTAACCGTAACGCAACCCTAGTTTGTCTAAATTTATTTATTATTTATTTGAAATGTTCTCATTGGTTGGGTAATAACCTTTTTTTTTGTGTGGAGCAATGCATCTATTGGTCTTTCCAGGATGTGAGTGTTTTTATCAAATCTGTTTACGGGACATTAGATTTTAACGTTTCGGTGGTTTTGTAGATTTTGAAATTTTTGGGGACTTCAAAAAAATCGATACTCTATATGGTTAAACAATTCCAAAGTTACTCGATTTTACTTAAATCAAAAAAATAGCGACTCATGAGCAATATTAATTTGTTATTAATACTTATTATATCCCAGCTAGTGTATATCACACTGATAAGTACGCGGCATTCAATTTCAAAACATTAGTTTCATTTCTGTGCTCTAATATATATATATAGATATATATTATTAGTTTTTACAATTTTTATTATACAAAACATTAAAATATGTATAACTATAAACACACTTTCATAATAGTATAGGTGTACGTACATTTAAACGAAGATAGAATTAAATGACTGGTCCAATTAGTGGTTATTCGAGTAACTATCAGTGACAAAGATGTATAATTCAGGCTCAAAAACCATAGTAAATCTTTAGATTAATACTTAATTGAAACACAAATCAGTGTAATCGGTCTTCGACGGTGGTTTTATATTAGAACCACGGCTACAAGAAAATCCATATTTATGTTGCTTCTTGAAGTATTATTTAAGGTTAACTCATTTTTATTATAGATTTGGATTTTATAAAGATTTTTTTTTATGCTTCTCAACTACTTCAAAAATTTGCCTATTCAATGTACAATTATTATATTACGTGCTAAGCAATATTAGATAATACTGTATGTATCATACTTTATAAAGTATAATATTTATTGTTAAACTATAGAATATTTAATTTATTAATACTTGTTAAAAAAAAAAATATTCAATTATAAATACATATAATATATATTATATAGTACAAAGCATACAGGATATATAATACAACTACACACCATACAAAACAATGAATAATTAACTTAGTTAACTACTTTCAGCAGATGATAATTAAAAATATCAATGAATTCTTTTGTATATTAATATTATACAATTTATTTTATTTTTAAGTATATGAATCTCAATATACATAGATATCTCAAATATTCTCAGATTTTTAAGTAGGAGAGAAAGCATTAAAATAAAATTTGAAATAAACAATCGATTATTTGTTTTGACAATAACCATATGAGTAGATAATGCAAGTACACTTAATATTAACTAAGGAATAATTTGGGTTTAGGTTCTCTACCTCATTTGTGAGTTAATTGTCTAGGTGAAATTTCAGGGATATTATTGGGCGTATATCGGGGAAAAAGCGAGTTGGGTCCCGAGATATTTGATTCCTTAGATAAAACACGAGTTAGGTCCGCAGTAATGTATATATATTATTATTATTGTTATTATATTATTAAATAATAATATCATATCTTATCTTAATAAGACGTATAATACAATGTTACCGGACAGTTTTCGCCGGATAACATATTGTAACTTGCCAATATACCGACACGTGTCAACGCTAGAAGTGTCCATCTAATAAAATATAAAATAAAATAAGTATAATGTTTTGTAGT